GACAGGTCCGGCCCTGGAGCTGCTGGAGCCGCCTGCTCGGCACTCAAGGGAGCGCGCCAGGACCGCTGCGTTGTAGCTGGTGCGTGTTTCTTACTCGACATCTCGACTTCACTACTTGTTTTTTTGTCACACCAGCCGTCAAGAACGCAGCTGTGTTTGTCCTGCCCTCCCCAGTGCGCTTTAGGGACAGTGTCGTGGGAGCCTGTACACATAAGCGGTTTCTAACCAGAAGCGACTCCCTCATTTGTTTCCACTTGTAAAGTATCGACAGCTTCAGACCCCCAAACGTATTAATTTTTCACTCTCTCACCGGCATGTTGCCACACTTTATAATTGTTCTTGAGAAACTGGTTGGTTTAATTTATAAGAAGTTAACGGAGCCCTTGTGGAACCATGTGCTAAGCACAGGGGAAAATTTGAAAGATCAGAGAAAACTAAGGGAATAGAAAATCCCCCCCAAATACCCCTGCTGATTGATCCGAGAGGTGTGAGTCAACTGGAACATGAACAAGTTTGATGACAAGAGCTGTGCTGTCACCTGGTTCAGAGGGACAGTGGGCAGCCGAGGCCCCTTGCCCCGCTACAGGCTCTGCATCAGTTCAGTTATTTTATCAGCGCTGACTCCAGGTGATTGACCAGATGGGGCAAACTGAGATTCCCCGTACAATTTTCTGTCTTTGTTTCACCCCCTTTTTGGGCTCCCTGGTTGCCATAGTTAATACCCAGCTAGCCAGAGTTCAGATTACATCCCTTCTTTGAGATTTGCTTCATCAACAAAACTCCCAGCATCAGCTCAAATACAGATACTTTAACCTCCCTCAGTAGTTCCTTTCCAACATACTTCACTCTTTTAAAGCTTTTGCCAGCTGAAACTGTTTTCCTTCTCTTGCTTGAGAAGGAAAAACAAACCAAGGCATATGCAAACAAAAGCTGTTCTGCTAACGAAGCCCAAACCCCTGCTCAAGTTGAGCAACCTCCCTTATAAGAAGTGTTGCCTCAGGGTGACACCGTATGACTGTCTGTCACCTGACTCAGCGACAAGCTGGAGCCTGGCAAAAGGTGCTGAAGAAAGCATGTATGCTCAGGGCTCACTTGGGGTTTTTATGACACTTCTAGAATTAGATCCTTATCTTTTAAAATATTTCCTTTCTCTTCAGAGCTTACCAAGGATAAAACCAATCCTGTCCAAGGGGTACAGGGTCAGTTATTTTCAAGCCACAGTTAAGAGGTAAAAGTGGGTAGAAATTGTCAGAGAAAAGACAGCTTTTTTTTTTTTTCTCCTCGTGGCTGAACTTTTGAGATACACTTCATGTGGGACACACTATACAGAGTAAGCATATGCATTTTGTCTTATGTTTCTCATTTAACGTGACAATGTCAAGATTTGGATTTTTTTTAATTTCATTCTTCTGGCTTTTTATCCTTGTTTCAGATTCAACATGCTGTTTTCTAGGACATTCTTTCATGATTTCCTGTGTGTTCCTCTTGTTTGATCACTGCTTTCTCTCCAGTCTCCCCCTAAGTGTTTTCAGTATGCAGATACCAGAATACCAAACTTTCGCCATTTTGACCTTCTGAACTTTTCTGTATTTTTCTCGTTGATGTTTCTTCTGGCTCAGATCTTTATCTCTGAGCTCTGGAATGATAAATCTTGGCCCATTAATCCCAAGAGCTCACAATGGTCAAGTAGAATCCAAGCTCCCTTTTTCTTCTGTTAGTCAGATCACTCTTGTCTTCATTTCTCAGACAGAAAAACTGGGCTTTGGAGAAGCCATTTTCTTTTTCATGAACACACCAGTGATTCCTAGAACTGAATGCAGGAGTTTGCCCCAGTCCTGCTCTGTAAATGTAGTGCGTTTCCTACCTGTGCCTGTCATTACCTGCATCTCTGTCTTGCTCTTCTCTGACCCTGCTATTCAGACTTCTTTCTATCTGTAACTTCCGCATCTGGCTATCCCCACTGATCCAGAACAGACCGCTCCAGCATTACACGCCAAATTGTCTTTGTGTCCGTCCTTACAGTTCTGACCAGGCTGACATTAGCAGGCTGGGTCACTTCAACTCCGGTTATCTCGTTACCCACGAGCAGCCGCGGGGCACTTGGCAGCATTCCTCGGTGCACGCGTGGTGCTGCGTCCCAGCGCCACCGCTTACCGTAGTGTTGCTAATGGCGCGCTGTCCCTGTCCTGGCAGATCTTCATCCGCAGCACCGACTGTGACCGGACGCTGATGAGTGCGGAGGCCAACCTCGCAGGCCTGTATCCCCCAGAGGGACAACAGATGTTCAACCCTAACATCTCCTGGCAGCCCATCCCTGTGCACACAGTGCCTGAGTCCGAGGAGAGGGTAAGTTAGTCTCGAGGACATATACTGACTGCTCAAATACTCTGTTGTGCTGACTTCTCCAAAAGTCTTTGCTTCGGTCTCAATTCAGATCATCTTGAACTTCTCCTGGGATCTACTTGGCAAACATTCTTCTGTTCTCAAAGCAAGATGAGAATTTGGGGGCTGCGTTCCCTCAACACATTAGCTGCAACTCCTCAGCAGAGCACACACAATCTGGAGTGTGCTAGGACTTGAGGCTGTTTCTAAGACGCATCCCACTAGTCAGGGTTTCATTACAGTTGCGCGTGTTGACTGCAAATTCTGTACTTCAGTGTTCTCAGTGACCTCGCTGCTCTTGTTGTCTCTGCCCAGCTACTGAAGTTTCCTTTGACCCCCTGTCCACGGTATGAACAGCTACAAAATGAAACACGGCACTCAGCAGAATACATAAATAAGACCAAAGAGAATTGGGTAAGTGACTGTTTGCATGAGATAAGCTGGTCTTAGGCTTGTAGTTAAAGTATTATCACCTCTGTATAATCAGAGCTCTGAGAAAAGGGTAGGGATACCTGTGCATGTAATACAGATTAGAAAATTGAAGGCCTTTCTCTTTTCTCATCACTTACAGCAATTCCTGCAGATGGTGGCAAACAAGACTGGGATCCGGGATGTCTCTCTCGACTCTGTGTGGAGTGTGTATGACACACTGTTCTGTGAAGTAGGTTTGGCCATAATCTTACAGCCACAGGAGTTTGGTCTTTCGGGCTCACTGGATTTGGTAGAAAATTATTTTGCAAAATCCCATAAAACAACTTTTCACCATTCCCATCCTACAGTTAGAAGTAATGTTCTAATTTCAGAATAGCAGCAGTTTCTACTTGCTAGAGGCAAGAATTACCTACTTTTTCACCGTCACCTCCCACTCTGTAGTTTAGATATATATCGTGCCAGAGCCTGAAAAAGTCCCACCTGCATAATAATTGGCTTTTTTGAGTCACTACAGAATGACTGCAATCGGAAATCTATAGATCTCTATGGACAAGTCCGAGTCAAGTAAGGTAGAAATGAGATCTCTGGAAACTGAGGAAGTGTTAACTGTGTGATTCAAACTGTGAGCTTAAGTTAGGACTATTCCTCACTCTACCTCTACTCCTCTATTAGATCAATCACATCTCTTTCTCTGTTTCTGTTGATGCCGTCTCTAAAAGAAAATAATGCTCTTCTAGGTTAAGTGGGGCTCACCCACATCTGGTTTTTGACCTGTTATAAGGTCTGTTGCCAGAGACAGACTCTGGAGACAGATGTTACCCTTTTACTGTCTGTGGTGAGGCACCAAACTATATTCACGTGGAGTTTTGTCAAAAGCACAACTCAGGAAGGCTTAAACAAAATCAAAAATCAGGCTAGCTGTGCTGTGATAATGCTAAAGGTCACATACCCAGGAGATTACAGCTGTTGCATACAAATTATCTGTATAACTGTACAGCATGATGAAGTAAATGATAGAGATCCTTCATGTCAGACTACCTAATTGTGGAAGAAGCAGTAAACCCAAGCATTTTGATACGGTGTCATGCTAATTCTATGGAGGTGGAAGACTACTTAACTTGCTGACAGTAGTATACAGTGGTACATATTATTTTGGGGATGTAAAAGACAAATCTGCATGGAATTGCATTTTGCTATGTAAAGCAGCAGCTTGAGTTGCTGCAAGCTGAGAATATTCCAGTCCAGAGCGGCATTGCACTATGTAAATTTGCCCTTTGTATCACAGACCTGATCTCCTGTCTTCTAACAAATCACAGTGAAGCAACTTCTGTTGGTAACAAAAAATCTGGTCAGAGAGATCAAGAAATTCAAATCATCTTCATTTTCCGGACTCACTTAATGAGCTTGCAGATTGGGCCCAGAAGGCTGGCTGACAATCACTATAATCCCCAAGAATTTGCAGAATAGTTGACTGTCCAAGAATGAAAGCAGAACATTTTAAGGGCAATTTTACTCTCAAAATTCTACCCTCAGGCTGACTGATCTCTTCAGCTGCTTTGGGCTTCCTTCTTTTTTCTATCTCTTACGAACAGTGCCATGAAGAGGATTGTTTTTCTCACCTCAGCCAGTAGACTCATTCTACCATCTGGATGGAGAAAATAATGAAAGTCCAAGAAATAGCTTAATTTACCAGCTATTCTCTTTATAAATTAATTAAAAACTAAATGTCTAAGTTGCTGATGGGAATTTCTCCAAACCACTCAGAACGGGCCCTTAAGGATATTCAGCCTCATCTTCTGGCAGTTTAATGGGATGTGGCATAGAAGATTGCTCTGAGTAATGCCAGGGAACCACAACTGCTGTTTGTCTGCCAGTATAACTAATCCTTTCTTGTAATGGGTTGGCTGCAAAGCAAATTCTTCTCTCAGTTCCCTGCTCTGTGTATTCTGGGTTTGAGTACCGGGCCTTGCCAGCGGTGCATCCCAGTATTACATCTGCAGAGCGCTTGCTAACTTTCTCCAATATCCTTCAGTGTTCCTCAGAGCCTCCAGGAAAATGGTGCTGCACGTACACCAGCAACCTTGAGTTTGTGCTGTCTCATTTACTGGGGGTTTTTTGGTGGCATTTTTTTTTTTTGACTGCATGCCATCTGAAGGGCAGAGTCAGCCACATGGAAAGTAAACGCCCCAAGATTATTGTCCCGGTGTTACGACATAAGCCTGCACTCCAGTTGTCCTTTCACAGAAATGCAGCTCCTAGATTTTAATCTTTATGCTTCTCATTCTTAGTTTCTGAAACAACATTAAAATCCACATATATTCTTTGTATGCAACACAGCAGTGTGAGGACAGAAGCATACGTAGGAAACGGGCATATTTAAAATAATACAGGAAATCAGTAGTGGTATGGGCAGGACTCCAGATACCCCCACTGCCATTCTCTGATTGATCCACAATCCGTGCTGCCTGCAGATGAGTATTCTGTTTCTCTTTCTAGCAAGCGCACAAAATGGATTTGCCTGTATGGGTGACACCAGATGTCATGGCTCGATTGAAGCAACTAAAAGACTTTGGGTTTGAATTTCTATTTGGGATCCACAAGCGGGTAGAAAAAGCTCGTCTGCAAGGCGGTGAGTGCGTGGGGGAGGGAGCTTCATGCTGCTCTGTCTAGTTTTTTGCCTCTTACCAGCTGCTCCCTTTCTTCAGGGGTCCTGCTGGATGATATAAGGAAGAACCTAACCAGAGCAGCAAATGTTTCTGCCCACCTGAACCTGAAAGTGCTCGCCTATTCAGCGGTAAGTCAGAGCTTGCAGGGCTAGCTTTTATCCACCTCTTCACAGGGGCTTGGTGACAGTTTTAACCCTCTCTGGCTTCTCTACAGCCCATGCAGTGATCAAGACATGCACCTCTGGCTGGGTGGGCTGTGCAGTATCTGGCATCATTCCTCTGGGGTCCCTGAGGAAAATTCCCAATTTGCACTTTCTTCCAGCTAGCTCAGGCTTGTGGATGAGACTGGCAGACTTTGGGGAGCAACTTCTATATTTCTTTGGTAGATGGGTTAATGTAATGTTTCTTCAGGGTAGATACAGTCATCCCCCCCCTACCTTCCAGCAGCCTACTGACTGAAAAGTCAAGCACCTCTCCCAAATTGCTCCCTAGAGATCAATTCTTCAAGAACAATTCAGGCTATATATGGCTGTGGTTTTGCTTCCTCCCCTTCTCTGGCACCATCACAGATCACCATTCTACCAGTACAGTTCCTCTTACCTCTTCCAGATGGAAGTTACAAAGGTGACATCCCCTCAGCACTGCCCTGTCTGTTGCTGGTACGGTCTGAGCTGCCCTGCCACATCCATAAGGGTGACTGATTTGTTTTTTTTCCCTCTTTCTCAGCATGACACCACACTCGTGGCACTGCAGATGGCTCTAGATGTCTACAACAAGATTCAAGCACCATACGCCTCATGTCATTTATTTGAGCTGTACCAAGAGGATGATGGGTGAGGGCTGCAGTAGACGGCTGCTGTGATTTCATCTCGAGGGTTAGAGACCGAGGCTAGGCTCCACCCTAGGGGATGCAATCTTGCTCCTAGTGGCAGACTCTTAGGAGGAAAACTACCACCGGAATAGAGGAAAGGGTGTGCACACTGAGTTTTTGGGAAGGGATGACTTCAGCCGGAGAATAAAGCAAACATCTAGCTGTGGCTTTTTTTCAGTAACTTCTCCGTGGAGATGTTTTTCCGGAATGAGAGTGGGAAGGAACCTTTCCCACTGACAATCCCTGGCTGTCAGCATAAGTGCCCACTGCAAAGATTCTTGGAACTCACAGATCCCATTGTTCCCCAGGACTGGAAGCAGGAATGCCAGGTAGCAAGTACCATCCATGACACAGGTGAGCCCAGGCCAGACAGCATGGCAGAAGGGGAAAGCTTGGATGATACCATGTTGACCATTTGTTTTCTCCCTTGCAGAACTGTTTGTGGGTCTGGCTGTGTGTGGATCCATTCTCCTTCTCCTTATAATCCTCCTCTTGACTGTACTCTTTCGCATACAGTCTCAGCCCCCTGGCTACCGGCACGTTTCCAATGAGGGAGAAGAGCAGGCCTGACAGTTGCTTCAGCTCCTTCGCAGGTAGTAGGAGGGAGCAGTGTTGTCCCTAAGGATGATTGGGCACCTGCAGTTACTGAGCATTCTTCTGCTTTGGCCACTGCTTCCCAGAATGAAGCTGGACTTGATTTTTGGATGCTTTCTAAAGGTGATGTCCCAGAAAGAGAGGACTGAGCTACTCTAATGAAAATTACGTCCCAGAAAGAGAGGACCAAGCTACTCTAATGGAAATTACACCTTAATTCTGAAGCTGTGTGGTGTCCCCAGTCCTCGTACAGTTTACCTAGTCTGGGATTCCCACCATGGCCAGCTGGAGCTGGCCAAGAGTTTTCCTGCTGTCAAGTGATTGTAGATGTTATCGCTCACCATGACTGTGGTGGAGGGGCTTGGGCCTCCAGCAGCTGCCACATCCAGTGCAGTCAAGAGCTGTGTCTCTCTTCAGGGTCGATCTGCTTTGCGTGCTTTTCTCTCAAGCCATTGGGCTGATGATGGTGGGAAGGCTGGGCTCGGAGCAGAGGGCACAGCTCGCCAACGTGCACCCAGACTCATCTACTGTCCATGCAGAGGGAACTTGGTAGATTATAGCAGACATAGTAAAAAGTGTTTCTGGAGGTTGCTGCCAAGCAGTTGCTGCTGGCAACTGGTCACTTTCCCTCCTCACATTGCAGTTCAAGAGAGAACTGGCCTGGAATCAGGACAAAATGGAAAACCTGGCAGTAGTTTCTAGGACTCAGCTCAGGGTAGGTTACGTATGATCCAAAGAAGCTCTAAGAGCTTCATCGGAGAGATGAATTCCTGTGAGCATAGCAAACCTGCACTCAATTTCTTGTGCAATGTTGGCTCTAGAAAGGAGAGTCCTTTTAGATAAGAAACTTGGGCCCTGTCTAGAGATTCAGCCTTTGAATTTGAGTTCCCCACCTCTGAATTTCAAGTACCTATTACAGGCAGTATCCAGTACTGCAGGCAGCTCCGATTTCAGCTACGAGCTCAAGGAATATGCTTTACTAGCAGAATGCTTTTATGCTGTAATTAAAGAGATTTAGCAGAGCTGTTTACCTAAGACTAGATTACATGCCAAGTTCTGTAGTTTTCCATCCTATCTTCCCTACTGGGTGGACAACAAACAAAGGAAAACCCATTAAGGATAGGAGTTTGCCAGTGACTGTGGATCCCCTTGTTTGTCACGCTTTGGCATTTTGTCCGAAGTGTGACTCTTTCTCCAGGCTGGCCTCACTGCACACACTGCAGCTGCTGTGGGGAACTTCATGCCAAGCGGTCACCACCTGCCTTCTAGCTTTTGGCAGAAAATGAGAGACTGCAGCAGGCACCAAAAGCAGAGGCTTTTCACATGGTGATGCTGCACATTCACTTCCCACTTTTACTTCCCTTTCTGGTGTGGTTCCCTTCCCCTCTTGGTGGCAGAAGCCAGTTCTTGGGTTACAGACGTTTCCTTTTCTTCCCCTATGGAGTACCATGGGGACTTTTCCCTATACAATAATCGGCATCTACCAGCATGGGAACTCTAGATCAGCAGAAGCAGCTTGCTGTTCTCAGCATCTTCCTCACCTTTTTGTCCTCTGAAGATACAATCTAGGTCCCTGCACAGCAAGACAGTCATAAAGAAAAAGCTCCTGCCTGTGAGAACAGGCACAGGAAAGATGTAATAGAAAGTGCATTTAAGAGGACCAGACCTGTTACTTTTTAAAGACGGCAGATTTTGCACACACAGAGGAAAGGTTTCTATGATGATTTAGACATTTTGACTGTGAATGACTTTCTGTAACTGTTCCAATACATTTCCTTTTCATTATTAAAATCAAATTCACACTGAACAGTACTACTCTTCTTCTCTAGGAGTTCAGAGGGCCAGCACCAGTGTGCTCAGTGTTGGAGAACCAGCAGAACTTGCTGCAGTATACCCCTTCCCAAAGGAATCCCCTGATTTACAATCCCTTTTCACAGCAGAGTGAGAATTGAATAGATAAACTACTTCTGGCTGCAGCAATGTAATGCAACCCGTCCAGCATGGAAGGGTCCGCTGCAGACACAGTGCTATGACTGGTATTTCCACCCCTGTTCTAAGTCTCTTAGCCCTCCTGCAGAAAGGTCTGTACCTTCCTCCCCCATACAAAAGCAGTTTAGCAGAATGCTCAGAGTAAGCCACTCTCTGTATCAAAGAATTTTAGTTTAGTACAAAACTTTATTAATACCAATACTGCAAAACTGTAAAAGTGAACATAGAGAACATAGAGAGCAGGCCTGGAGTCTGTCCCATCCATCAACCTCTGGGACAGCAGCAAGGCTTGCCTTGTAAACAAACTAAAAAAAGCAAAACTTTTCAGTTTAACAGCAGTCTTGAAACCTGGCTCTGAGCAAGGGTGTTTGGAAGAAATCCCTTGTTTCTGCTTTACAACACTTTTATCCAACATTCTGAAGCACATAGGCATGAATGAAAAAAATTAACTAATCAGTGGCAACAAAAAGCCTAGAGCTCTGAAAACAAACTACAGAATCAGTAGGTTCCCAGCACTATATTGCCCTTGCATCCCATGAGACAGGTAAAGAGCTCTGGCATCATCATATTCTTTGTGGTCTAGTTAAATAGCTGCAAGCACAGACCTGAGGTCTTGACAAATGCACATTCTGCGAGAAGCTTATGGGAGAGGCTGGTGTTCCCCAGGCTACCCAAGCCACCCATCACCTTACCCCTGTGAACAGTCTACCTTTGCAGGACGTTATTCTTGTTAGCAAAGGGTTTCTCAGCTCAGTTTGACTAGAACAGGCTGGGGACCCTGTCACAAAGCTGCTCTGCAGCAGACTACAAAGACAGTGACCTCTGACAAGTGATGACAAGCAGATGTGGCAAGCTGGAAGCTGTAGCTTCAGCAGGATCTGAGATCATCTTTGAAGTTTTCCTAGTGCCTCCGAAAATGGGTGGTAATTCCACTTGGAGAAAGAACTGAATACTGACACAACTTCTCAGAAGGGGAATCAAAGAGACTCGGGGAAGCCAAATCAGATCCAGGGAGGAAGGACAAAGTAGAAGTCTAATGCCCTGCATGGCTCATACTGCCCATTGCCAACACTGAATTTGTACCCTGTGATCCAGAAAGGACCAAAATACTAAATCAGTTCTCTAGATCCTTCCCTTTCTGCTTCCTTCCCTGTGATGTAGAATCGTTGCTTTTTGTTCTATCTCCTCCAGTTCCCAAGACAGTTAAGTTCGCTTTGCGTTTGCTTGTCCCAGGGTTTGACGGCCTCTGCCCTCCAAATCTGGGCAAACTCCAGCCTCCAATCCTCCGTTCTATCATGTCTTTCAGAAGATGTTCTTGCTTCCTGGTCACCATCTCCTCCCGGCTCCAGATCAGAATATTAAAGCCTGAGAGGAAAAATTGAGCACTGTGCATCAGAAACTCTACATCAAAGACAATACCTTAGGCTGTGTCACTTAAATGCCAGAAGTTCAAAATTCTTTGTCTGTTCTAAGATATTTCCAAGGTTACAGAGGATGCAAAGACATTTATCACAGATGCTATCTCCACACAGCCATAGAAATTTGATCTAATTAAGAAACATAATCAAGTCATTCCTAATCTCATCTGTTACAGGTCTAAAACCTAAATCTATAGCCAGCTCCCTTAATCCCATACAGCCTGTAAAAAACAGAGTAATCTTGGCTCTGCAGCCTAGGAAATGAGATAAATGAAACGAAGCCCGGCAGGAAAAGGCTGTGTTCCGCCCCCGCCATCCTTTTCTGCTGCCGTGACAATGCCGGCAGATGGCAGCAGCTCCCCGCTGCGGGGAGGCTGCTCGCTCCCCCGGACTCCACGCTCCCGGGAGCGTTTCACAGGAGGTTGACTAGAAACCTGTTCCCTAACTGCAAAGGTGGAACATTGAAAAGAAGGTCTCGATCTCCTTTACATAATGTAGGAAATTATAGAGGTATCTGGGAAACCCTCACTCACAAACTGCCCTAGTCCGGAGAAACAAGCCTGCCCTTTTCTGAGACTGGAACGCACCCCTGCCTCATGCCCTGGGTTCTCTTTGCTTACCCATGCCAGAAGCCAGCGTGTCTCCCATAGGGTTAAATTTGTTGAGCTGAAAATGGAAACACAATCAGAGTCTGTAAGAGCATCACTGGTTATATAACAGTCATAAGAGCACCAGGGCTTATGTAACAGCAACAAACCATCTGGAAATGTTCCCTAAAGAGTAACACAGAAAGAAAACCCACAGATGACCACAGACCAGCCCCGCTCAAGTCAGCAGCTTCAGCTAGCAGCCATACCCCCCTCACCCCCCCACCCCACGAGCACCAGTCTGTCACAAGAGGGGACTCCTTCCTGTTCTGGACCCTAACCCGTACCTCTCGCCTGCGGCACAACATGCGACAGGGTCCTTTTAGCTGTAGTGCTCAACTCACCGAGATGATACCGGAAACATTTGGATCATGGAGTTGATAAACCATCTGCCCGGTGTTTCCATCGAAAATGTCAACAGTTCGTAGCTCATTCACCATGTGCCCTGGGAACTTAGGGTCTGGGTAGCGACCTGCTACAATGAGGTCATAGCGAGGATGCCACGTTGCCTAGTCATGGAGTAGAGCGATGGGGAGTTAAGAGAAAGGAACAGAGCTCATATTGACACACACCAGACAACCGCCAGCGTGAGCAACACTTTGTACATCCCACCCCCGCAGCTTGAGGAACACAAGTATCCTCAGGACAGCGCTCTGCTGGGAGTCGCAGCAGTGTGAACATTACCCACCAATGTAGCAGTATCCTGACCAGAAATCAGACCCGTTTCTGATTTACAGCTGACTGCTAGCACCAGGTATGATACTCCTCTCAGACTGCACTTACTTATCTCACCTTAATAGGCGTGAGGTGCTGAAACTGCCGATGGGGATGTGGGATCAGATGCTGTGGCTTGGTCCAATCTGAAGATGAGTAAACCCTGATTTCACTGTGCTGGTCTGTGCTCAGGAGCTTGGCACTGTCTGTTGGGCTAAAGTGAGCTAGGAGAGGGGGACAATAAGGCAAGCAAAAGATCACCGTGCTGTGACTGACAAGAAACATAAAAGTCACATTTCTCTGATGGGAAACACATTGCTATTTCTTTAACAGGGATGTGAATATGGCCACGTGTCCCAACATCAAGACTTTACCTGTCTCAAACAAAGCTCTTACAAACAGTAAACTGAAACCTACAGTGCTGGGTTACATAGGGAGAATCACTATTCTCATTTTAGAATCACAGAAAGAGGCACTGCAAAGAAAGGAACTTGCTCCTTCAAATGAAAAGTTAGTGAAAAAGTTGGAGATAGACACCTGCAGCTTGGACTTCCATGGACTGGTAAAACTACACCCCAGAAACAGAGGTCTGAGTCCCACGCTCTGCTTTTGTTACAGGAACTGCCCCAATAAATTCAGTTTTCCAATCTCAGCCACTGCCGATGCTTCCACACCTGCTTCTCGAGGCCCAGTGCCACAGGTTGCATGGCAAGCCTATGACTGTGCTGCAGCTGCCCTATCCACCTCTGTTCCCGACGCCCTCCTTTAACGCTAGCTACAGCGCAGCTTCGAATCTGAGCGAAAGCTGCCACTGCCACAACAGTAACAGCTGAGCTGAGCGGGCTCTCTGCAGACATCCTTAACTCACAAAAATCCTTAACTCAGCTGCATTGACAGGCTACAAAATCCTTAACTCACCTGCATTGACAGGCTTGTCATGAGGAAGCACATGAAGAAAATTCGTTTTGTCTTTAATGTTTCTGAGGTCCCAGATTTTGACTGTCTGATCCACAGACGCTGTGGCCAACAGCCACTCACAGCGGGAGTTAAACTCCACGTGAGTCACTTTCTTCTTGTGCAATTTCAGCTTCCAAATCTGCAGCAGAGGAAGCAGAAAATCATACAGAAAAAAAGTAAGGTCTGGAGTAAAGAAATGGACTAATAATCTACTAGTGCAGAATAAAGAGGTCTCACATTACAGAGTAACAAAACTTCTAAAATACACCAAGAGTTTATCCACTGGAAACAAGAAAGAAGAAGAATGACCTTGGGAACTAACTAATTCTAGGAGAACTCTGTTCTGCCAATTTATTACAGCTATGAGAAAGGAAAACACAACCCCTGGTTCCTGTAGGGAAGTATTTAGTGGCACTGTACAAATCAAGATCACATCTGGAATACTTTATGCGGTGCCAGTCTTCCACCTACAGAAAGATTAAAACAAACTGGAACAGGTACAGAAAATGTACTGCTGAGAGAATAAATAATAAGGAAGGGCCTGCTTTGTGGGAGAAGACCAAAAGAGCTTACTTTGATTATTTTAGTAAAAAAGGTGAGAGGAAATATAATTGGCTTCCAGAAATACATCAGCAAAGGAAGACAAGGGTAGGAGAAATATTTCAATTAACAAGAATAAATGGATATAAACTGTCCATGAATAAATTTATATCCAAAGCTGAAAGACTATTTCTAAACAAAAGGGTAAAGCTAGCCCATCCTCCCTACAACAATGGTTATCTCCCAAGTGCAGAAAAGACTCGCACATTCTTTCGGGATTAAAAAAGAAAAAGAAGCAACTAACCTCGGAGCACTCCTGACTCGGCCTGCTAATTTACACAGCCGCCTCCGGGCACAGCACACTGGGTGGCAAACTCTTACAGATGTCACCCTTACAGGCAGGAGAAAGGGTAATTCTGGTGCGACGGTACAGCAGGTTCTGGAAAGCCGGGCCCACTCCAACTATTCTCCAAAACGTTTCCGTACTAGCTCAGCCGCTCAGGTGCAGCCTGCCTGTGCCTGCCCTCTCTTGGCTAACGGCAGTAGTGCAATTTCTATCCCAGCACTGGCTGAACCAACTGTTGTGGACCCTTCTCCAAGGCCACGGAAGGGGACACCTCAAAGCAGGCTCTCCTAAACGACTCCCATCAGTGCGGGAGTGTGAAGGTCGTTTGCAAAGGGTGCTCACATCTTCAGGTTACCCTATAATTACCTCTGGCCAGTAGAAAATGCTCTTAGGGAATGGGTAGCACATGGCACAGTCCCTGCTTGGGAATTATTACCACTATACTCCACAATGTGAAAATGTCTAATGAATGGCAGAAGTGGAGGCCTTCCCACCACCTAGGCAATGAGTGGACTCCTCTCCTGAGCTGCAAGGTACTTGCTCCTCTTTTCAGGGTCCCTGTAGTATAGGAAAGCACATGAGCCATGAAGATGCCCACAGAGGAGATGCTGCATGGGGTGCCATACAAACCTTGTCACCAGAAGTGCTGAGCAGGACCACGTTGCCCACATTATCACCTGTCACCACTGAGCGGCAGCTCGCAGAAACATCAACGCTGCAGTACCAGCAACTAGAGGGAAAGAAACATCAGTGCTGCCTCCCACTGGGAAGCAAAGGCAGTGGAGCTCTGGATTGCATCTCAGAATCACAGAATCATCTAGGTTGGAAAAGACCTTGAAGATCATCCAGTCCAATAACTAACCTCACACTGACTGTTCCCAACTACACCATATCCCTCAGTGCTGGGTCAATCCAACTCTTAAACCCCTCCAGGGATGGGGATCCCACCACCTCCCTGGGCAGCCCATTCCAACACCCAACAACCCCTTCTGTAAAGAAACGTTTCCTAATATCCTGTCTAAACCTTCCCTAGCACAATTTGAGGCCTTCCCTCTTGTCCCATTGCTTGTTACTTGGTTAAAGAGACTCATCTCCACCTCTTTGCACCCTCCTTTCAGGTAGCTGTAGAGGGTGATGAGGTCTCCCCTCAGCCTCCTCTTCTCCAGATTAAACCCCCCCAGTTCCCTCAGCCGCTCCCCATACGACCTGTGCTCCAGACTCTGCACCAGCTTCGCTGCCCTTCTCTGGCCACGCTCGAGTCATTCCATGTCCTTTTTGGAGTGAGGGGCCCAAAACTGAACACAGTCATTGAGGTGTGGCCTCACCAGTGCCGAGTACAGGGGTGAGATCCCTTCCCTGTCCCTGCTGGCCACACTATTTCTGACACAAGCCAGGATGCCATTGGCCTTCTTGGCCACCTGGGCACTCTGCTGGCTCCTGTTCACCCAGTTCTCCCTCACAAGGGAAACTGCAACAGACTGTAACCACAATCTCCTGCCTGATGGTGCGGGCCTGAGTATCAAGAAGGGGGACAGCTTCTCAGCAATGCTTTCTGCTGGTGACTGTGGAATAACTTCCGAGCCATCCACAGAGCACTCGCTGGGTGGGGCATGACACACTAGAACAGTGGAACAGAACAGGCCAAAGAGCCACTTGGTGCCTGCATATGGACACACCTTGGGAAAGATCAGAACATCCTTCTGACACTGACAAATGTACAGAAACAGCTTTCAGATTACATTTGCCACAAAACACTGAAGCAGCAGTAAAGAAAAGACAAAAGCACTGGCCTGGAAAGTTGCACATCAAACTGTCCCAACTTCATGCTCCAGGAAACAAAACTGAATAGAGACTTATCTGATAAAGACATACGTCTTAACGCCAGCTCTGCTGGGAGGGGAAGGGCAGCGAGGGTAAAGCTGGGGTCCTTTGGTAACTTGTTGCAAAAGCTTCACTTGCAAAGATAAATTATTCTAGAATTCAAGGTCATGGAAATAAGCATGGTGAGCCTGAGGGCTCCAGAAGGGCAGCAGGATAAACTCAATAACCTGAAACGCAGATTGTGCAGGAATGTTTTGTGGCATTCCTATGCTACCTGAGCTGCTACAGACAAAACAGAACGCTGATGACAATGAAGAGGAGGAAGTGACCCTGCTATTCTCATCTCACACTTTATGAAGTGAAAGGCTGTCAGTATCTGCAAGACAGGAGATGATATTACCAGAAGCAACACCAGAAGATGCAGACAGCATGCTCAGCTACTCTAAAAGCCTAAGAAAGAGCCCTGCGGCCACCTGGCTTCCCACCCACCCTGCAGTGCTGGGGTTGGGACCAGGAGCCTGTCTCCAGGCTCCCTCACAGGATCAATTCATACCAAGAGTCTCCTAACACTGGCAACAATAAAGATGTTAGAGAGCACAAGAAACAGTGAGCATTAATGCCAACGAATCGAGAATCAACCTTGCACTGCTCCCTTCTCACAAAACATTATGGTGCTCGTGGCCACAGTCCGGGGCACGGGAAATGACCTGCACCACTCTGCCCTCAAGGTCCTGCAGGCTTAGGGTGCCATCCCCTGATACCACATAAACCTTCATTGCCTCATAAAGACTGAACTTGACGTCTCCAAGAGTATCTCCTGGCCCTTTCTGGAATACAAGCAAAGCCAAGAGACATCACGGTTAGAGTAGAAGACAAAATCCTAAAATAATGCTCACCGCTCGGAACACACTGCTGGTTTCCCTAGGTATAATTCACTGCTTTCTGACAGGGCATGTACATAAGAACTCTTTCTTCCTTGTTTGTTCCCAACTTTGGTACATAGATTATGAGCATCTAAATTCAACACCGTCCCTTTAGGCTGCAAGCCTCACCAGCAGCATTGCTGCTTCTGCTACAGGGGTAGCACTGATCTGCAGTGAACCACCTGGCTCAGACCAGGCTTAGGAGATCACAAGCAAAACCAGCATCATTCCATGCAGAAACCACATAAAATGTCATGACAGCCCTGCACCAAGCTTTTCTTGCAGACTTCATTCACCAGTTCCCTACAGGCTGTTTCCAGTGCTGTATCTATCTGGTCTTTCTCAAGGTACCAGCAGGTAGGATGAGAGCAGTGCAAGAAATCCTACCTACTAACCCCATGTCACAGGAATCTTATGTTCCATTATATTTGTTTTGTTATGTTGTTTTGTTACATCGTTTCCTCCCAGTCTGTCTGCTGAGGAAACGTGGAAATCCTACACAAAGACAAGAAGGATGCTAGTTGGGAGTCCCCAAACTCTTTGATAATCAAGTGCACTCCATCTGCTGCTCACAGAGCAACTACTTAGCAATGTCTCACTGTAAATACCAGCTTTCAAAAGCCAATAAAGAAAAAAAACAGTCCCGCCCAGAGAGGCTGCCTGTCCTCACAGCAGGAGGAGGACAGCATGACCTTTCAAATCCAGGCATTGTGGCTGTGACAGGCATCCCACTGGGATACGAGATCCTGATGTTCCAGCCCCAGTCTATCCCTCCCTGATCACCTGGCCAGTCATCCCAGCACTACTTGGGTTCACCTTCTGCCCTATTATAAGGCTGCAGCTGGAAACAGCCAATTTGGAAACCTGCCACGAGAGCTGCCACACAGAAAGAATCAGGTGGGGAAAAGTAAGGAGGAGGCCAACCCAAATTCCCTCACTTACCTTTAAGCATTGAACTGAAGTAACTAATAGGAAGGCTCAGGCTTCCTCATGAGTCCACAAAGCAACAGTCTGTGAGGGTGATTCTAAGCGTAGGCAGAGCTGCCTCTAACGATTCAACTCCTCTTTCCACTCATTGCTGAAGGAGCTCAGACTCTTAATTTTGGTATTTTAGATAAGCACCAAAAATCAGGTGGGATGAACTGGGGTGATCCTTGTGATACATGCCACTTGAAGTCAGTGGCATTTATGGGGAAGCACTGAGGGGACTATAAATGGTCCTGTGAAAACCATCTGACAACAAGCAGCACTGCTAACAGGTGAAGAGGTTCGAAGGTCCCCAGCTCACAGAGCTATGGGCGGTTTAAAACCAGACAGCTGAGGAAATCCACTGGCACCCCCACACTCTCCCATGTACAATATAACAGCAAGTAAGCAGCATCAGAGTCCCTCCCCTTCATAAAGAAAAGCTCTCTCCTACCCACCACCCCATTTCAGAGAAAAATAAAAAGGCAGAGTGAGCCTCCCTGGATGGTCCCTGAAATTCAGAGAAGAAAGAACATTTATGTGGAGAAGAGGAAGCCGAGCTCCCACATACTGGAGACAAACATCTCTCTCTCTCTTTCTCTCACTCTCTCACTCTGTAGCACTCCTGTCAGCAGGACACAGAGGCCCAAAGCATTGCTGTTATTTCTTACTCCCAGTCCTCGGTGCTGGTGAAGACCTGGACAGTATTGCCATTAAAATCCTGCAGGATGGTAGTGCCAGCAACTGACGAAGTGTACAGCTGACTAGGGTTAAAAGGGTTAAACTTCAGTCCTGTGATGGCCCCTCCAGCTCCCACCTACAAGGAAGGGGATGAACAAAAGAAAAATCCACTGAGTGATGGCGAAGGAGAAAAGTGTGTTCTGTAAGTCTGCATTCACTGATATATCCTGAACAGCAACAATGAAACGCACCACAGCCCTTCAAGGAGGCAAAAACAACCAAGTCCTCCCACATGATGGCTGCCCACACAGCTGCCCTCCCAGAGGACAAATCTGCAACTCCTTCAGTCCCCAGGCAAAGTATTCCCTGGCTGGCTGGCACCACACTATGTACAAAAAGAGAAAGATGACTCTGGAATTTGTGGAGGGTAGACCTCCTCCCAGTGTACACCTATGTTAATTTAGAGGCGATAGAAGTTACAGAGTCTTTGAGCCCCTGTCAGAATGGGAGCAGCTGAATACAGCAAGAGGGCATGCCAGCTATATAAACCACTCATTCTACCTTAAGTTTCTCACTTTAAGATAAAGGGACTTTGTTTCTCCCCACTCAAAGATGTTTCCTCACCTGACACAGACTAACAGGTCAGCAGAGAAAGATAAAACCTAAACCAGACAGGCCCTCTCTGCCTATTTGTTTCTGGCATCCCTTTAAGATAACTGTTTTGCCAGTTGCTGTATTGTTTTTCCACTGAGCACACACCAAATACCACTTGATTATGAACTTGATCAACACGCTCCAGTTCTCCCCAGCCCTATAGAACAGTCTGGGACTTAGGAAGAGACGATGTTGCACCTCAGCCCTGCCCCATTTAGCTAGCTACTCTGCAACCCAAGACCCTTAAGTGCTTCTCACAACAGACCTCAGTTTTGATCTGCAGTATTCAGTGGTGCTCCAGTTTTCCCTCCCACCCGTTCCATGCACCCAGAGGCTTACCCCTTTTATGAAATAGGTTTTAGAAAGTACTTCATAGTCCCAAAGGATGATGTCTCCACCTTTGGAACCGACAGCTACAGTACTGGGGTGTGTTGGGTGCCATTCCAGGCATGTCACTCTCCTGTCAAAGGGACTTGCTATTCGAAAGATGCGGTATGAAGCAAGAGAACGCAGAAAGGGCACCTGCAGGCACTGTTGAAAAGATAAAAAGAATTATGACTTTTGCAAGAATGCCCCGAGGATCTCTGAGGAGTACTAACAATTTCTAATTGTCGTCAGCGTTAGTACATTCACACAAAATTCTAAGCTTCTCTGTAGAATAAAGAGAACATGCTGTCCTGAAGGGAAAGCCTGTGACCACACAAACCCATATCAGCCACAGCACTCAGAAAGCAACAGAGGACTGAGATACCACACTTCAAATGATGTTTGGGGAGCTGAGCCTTGTGGGCTGAGCTAGAAAGGCTGGATAATTCACAGGGGAAAAGAACATGCCGCCACCCCAGTAAAAGTTCTTACGGCTATCTATATCTTTACTGAACATCCCAAAATGCTACACATCATCCAGAGATACAACATTACAGTCCTCAATCCAAACTGCCTGCAGCTCAGCTATGTGGCACAGGAGCGAACAGAACACTTGAAACAGGGAATGAGAAACTATGGCACAACCATAAGGGCTATTCAGCTGAGAAATAGATACTGCTTAGGCAAGCTTGGCAATTTCTTTATCATTTGAATACTTAAAACAGATAAATAATCTGGAAAATAAGGCTAGCCCAGGTGCTTCCCACCTACGGATGTTACAGAAAAAGTTGATTTTAAATTGAAAGGACTATGGCTTTGAAAAATAGTAAAACATTATGGACTTGATGGAATACATCTGTGAAGAAAAATCAACTCAACATTAAACCTGACATGATTAGCAAAGTAGAGTGGATACAAGAATCAGTATGACAAAACAGCTGGATCAGCATGAAAAAGTAGCACTGTGCAACGATTCAATTGGTAGAGTGGGTAAGTTTAAATATGATTTAAGGAAGCATAAAATTAAGAGGATAAAATGTAGAGCAACAGGGTCAGGTCAACCAAAAGGGAAAGCCATCTCTGCTCTTCATTTACAGGATCAATAAACATAAGGGTGCACCATACTTGGAGCCACAAACTGTGTATGTGAGAAACTTTAAGCCCCCTTAAAGTTTCCCTGCTCATGTTGAAGATCTTTCTATGTAGGGAGTGGAGATGTTCCCCAGGTCATGAAGGAGAAACTCCTCACCTGCCTGAGCCGTGCCCGAATGGAGCCTCCCAGCATGTTCTGGTAGACATAATGAACAATGCTGCGCTGCTGCTCTGGCTGATGGAAAAGCACTCTGTTGTTTCTCACCGTGGACCCACCTATGCTCCAACCTGCAGAGAGAAGAGTAAAACTTACAGAGAGCCAGCGCCCATCATGCTCATTCACTAAACACCACAGGAAGATGTCTGCATTTGCTGCTACATCCATGAAAAGATTCAGCCACAAGATTAAGTGTCTCTAAATGATTCTTACATGTCTAAGGTGCAGCAGCATCTGCAATTATGGAACTTGGTGCTTCCCATAGCCTGCCAGAGCTTTGTGTATGTTTCCTCCTGTTAAACCTTCCTTCTCCTTGCCAAAGATTTATCAAAAAGACAACGGGAGAGAACTAAAGCAATGCCATGGGTGGTACATCTCTCGGACTGTTTACAGTTTGAATGGATCATACCTAAAACACAATAATGCTATCCAGAGCCCCAACAACTTGGAAATACGCCATGGGAGGCGGTAAGCCCCTGGGTACAGCAAAGGGAAGGTCAGACATGTGACCAGCAGAAACGTTAACACCTGAAAATTCTCCAAGCATAGCAACATGAGTTCCCACACAGTTCCTGAAATGCCCGCCTGTGAATCAGAATTTTCGATCTGCTTGTGCTGTAGCCCGTACAGTCTACGTCCAGCACTGCGAGTTTTGTTTTTGATAATAGACTTGCTGACGCCTCATCGCCTGAAAACCTTTCTGTTTGGAGTAATTTTTGCTGAGAGTACAGCATGCTTCTACATTTTGTTCATGTTCCAAGTTTTTATCTTCAGGGACCTTTACATAAAAACCAGATCTGTTCAGTCCCATATCTGTGATCTAATCATGCCCACCACAATGGTCTGTAACACCCCAGGGGATCCAGACGTCAAACACACTTCTTAGGAAACAAAAATGCTATTTTCATTCAAGGATATTTATTAAAAAAAAAAACAAAACCACAAAACCAGAAGACCGAAAACACAGGGATCATTCTATACGATTAGAACCTAAACTAAATCTTTCTTTAATCCAATGCTGGAGCCTAGAAATGCACAGGTATGAAACTAAACACGCCAACATAGTGCCAACACTTGTCACACCTGTTGAAATAGGTATAGAAGTATTTATATTCTTTCTTTTTTTTTTTTCCCACAGAAAAATTAGCATCCACAGTTCCTTCTTTAGAGGTGGCGGAAATGGAGGTATTTTTTCCAAATTCCATTTTATTATGAATGATAATTTATTAAGAAACAAACTTCAGGCCTTTGCAGAATCTGCTGAAATAAACGCTTCAAAGAGGTGTTTCAATTGCAAGAAACTGAACTAGACTCCCATCCTCAGGAGAAAAAATAAGTTTTTTCCAAAACACATAAAAATAAAAACTGGAACGCAGAATGGAAAATCTCAGATACAAAGGTCTTCATCTTTTTAAAAAAGGTTTACGGTAAAATTATGATTGGCCTCTTTTTTCCAAAGTACTAGCTATATCAAATTCCCTCTAAATCTTACAGGAGCTGCATAAAAAGCAAATAAAATAAAAGGAAGTTACAATGAAAATCATGTAGCTAAATTAACTACAGAAGATGCTTTAACTATCCACAACTATAAACAGAACTCCTTTCAAACAGAGTATTTTGCCTCCACATCCACTATTCACATTGTCAACTGCTTCCAGTTTGGAGTTATACACCAGACAACGGAAATGTACAAAATTGTAGAACTTCTGTTATCTCTCATTGTTGAAAAACGCTTCAGCAATTTCTGGATCCTTAAAGCCAAATTTGTACAGGAAGCGTGTACTATTTCCACACAAGACAGTAACACTAGTGATCTCCCGAACAAATGATGGAATTAAGTTTTATCTGAGAAAAGGAAGCTGAGAGGGAGACCTTAGCGCTCTCTACAACTACCTGAAGAGAGTATTGTAGCAAGGTGGGTGTTGGTCTCTTTTCCCAAGCATCAAGTGATAGAACAAGAGGAAATGGGCTCAAGTTGCACAAGGGGAGGTTTAGACTGGATATTAGGAAAAATCTCTTCACCAAAAGGGTTGTCAAGCATTGGAACAGGCTGCCCAGGGAAGTGGTTGAGTCACCATCCCTGGGGGTGTTTCAAATGTGTGTAGATGTGGCACTCAGGGACACGGTTTAGTGGCAGACTTGGCAGCGCTAGGTTAACAGTTGGACTGTTAATGATTCTATGATTCTATGAAAATAGTCCTTGCTATAGCTGAAGTCTACACAACTTTCTTGGTAATGCAAACCATTAACCTTTCCAGTATCTTGGAACTTAATCACCTCTCCTTGTTATATCCAAAATCTTCAAGAGATTTTTTTTTTTTTAAGTTACACACTAAAGGAAAAAAAATGCACGAGAAGTGATTAGTAGAAATTCTGTCCAGTCTAATATAAACATAGAGGTAGAAAGTTTTCCTACTTACTGGAGTAAAAGTCACAATATCCAAAGAACTGGGTGGAAACGCCAGTTTAGACTGAATACTGTAGGATATCAACCTTACAACTATGAAACTGCATTACGAATGGCATGGAGAAAGAATAATGTATTATCAAGATCAGTCTGTCCTACAACAAAGTAAACATCTGGTAATTCAGGAATTCCATGGAACACAACAACCCTCAAATAAGCTGTGACAGCATCTTCAGTGAGTAGGCTTCTACCAAAGGGTACGGAGTCTCAAAAATGAAACACACATGCACGAGTGCACACACACACTCACTAGACAGATAACCTGAGGATGTACTTCCCCAATACTTGTCTGTGTATCACTTTGATATATAAGCCTATCTGAACACTCATGTCTGAACAGGCTTCTCGGCATTCTGCCTCTTCAACTAGTCGATGCCTGTCATTTAGGGTAAATCTGGTTGGAAGGAACAGTAAGGATCTGAGGAAATGTTACCGATTTTCTCTGGGGATTTGGATGTTTTTCTCACAAACAACCTCTTTGCTAGTGGCTCATTCCCTAGTTCCTTGTAGTCCGGTTTCCTCTTCCCAGCTGATTTTGTCTCTTCCGACAAATACTCATGTGTCCTCTCATGCTTCTTGTCCTTTGGCTGGTTCACTGGAGCCATTCTGTCTGACCACTAAAAGCAAACAAAGCATGGAAGGTAAGACCGTCATACACTTTTAACTAGAGGACAGAGAGGAAAACTGGAATGAAAACATATCCCAGAGGTCCAAAAGTAGTGATTATACCTGCACCCTCTTTCATCAGCATGACACTAGTTTTTTGTTGTGCTCTGCTGGAGAGGGGAACAGGTTCAATAAACTCTTCTTTGTTCACATATGAAAATGAATGTATCCTAAAGCATTAGAATATGTTTTGACAGATGTGCTTCTACCGAACTTTTAAGCTTAAAACCCACAGATCTGCATAAAGTACATCTGTGAAACCACATAATACCCTAACTGTTTCTCTAGTAGCTCACACTGAGCTCTTTAAATTCAGCTAAGAAAAAGGTCAGAGCTTTTATGACGATGGCCGGGGCCGACTGGTCTTCTCCCAAACGTGCTCAGAAGGTACTTCCTATGTAACGGCCCCTTTTTTTTCCTCACAACCACCACCTGGTATTTGCACTGGGCTCTTCCACGGGCTGGCAACCACGCCTGAACTGCTCTTGTGACCGGCGGTGGGACGCAGCCACTCGTGTCTCAACGACCAAAACGCCTCCCGGCCCCCGAGGAGAGGCGCGGGCCTCCCCCCAGCTCCCTCGGGGCCGGCGGGCCGTGGCCACACGCCACTCTCAGCCGCAGAAAAGCTCCTCCGCCACCAGCGTCCCACAGGCGCGTCCCCTGCTAGCGCGAAACTTACTTATAACTGGCGGATGGCTGTCACGGAGGGATCTGCCCGTGTTAAATACAGCTCGGCACCCACCGCGCCAGCTCCCCCACACAGCTCCCCCCGCGCCCCCCCGGCCGTCCCGCAGGGCCGCCCCTCGGCGCCGCGGCCTGG